ACCGGTTCGGGGGAACGCCTCCTCCGAGCGGGCGGGTCATTGCAGAAATCGACACTGACCTTCCACCAATTCAGCTGACAACATTGACCTCCGACCCGGAGTTAGGTGCTGCACCTTCTACGGGGCGGAGTTCTAGTCAGTCTGTAAATACTCTGGTTAAACCGGGTTTTTCTGATTCAGTGTGGGAACCTCCATCATTCTTGGGAATAAAGTATTCTTGGTTTCAGTTTTCAGGACAGACCATGTTCCTAAAGCTAGCATCATGTCTGTATCTGATTCTAAACATGGCTAGGTTTGCTTTGACACCCGTGACACAACCATCCTTGGATCACTCCTTTTCAGAACCTCCAAGTCCAACACCTCCGGGTCTTTGGACATCTGAACACCTACTCTTTCAGCACGATTCAGGTGACAATGTGCATCTTCTTGGTAATAGCGCTTTTAAGAGCTTAAGAACTGTTCTTTGTTATGCTTCTCCTGTCTCACAGACACGGCATACGTTTGAGAAACAAAAGGGGGGTGGGGAGCCTCCTCCCGCTTTGCGAGCATCATTTTCGCATTTCCAGTTCACTACCATTTCTGATCACAACAAAGTCGCCTCCGTTAAGCTGCAACCCAACTTTGAGCAGGTAAAATCAGGTTCTGATTTAACAGCTAAACCATCAGCTTCGCTCCAGTTCCAAACGGGACCCTCAGGTAAATTCAAACAAGTTTCCCTGTGGGTTCGTAACACAAGATACAAACAGTTTGATAACCAAATCGCTTATGAGCTTGCTCCCACAGATACGTCCAAACTCGTGTCTCTGTGGGTCCGCAATACCAGATTCAAAACTCTATTCTGACCGACTATTCTGACCGGATTCTTTTCCACTGACTGGTGGACCGTTACAAATTCTCTCGTTTGTGGGATGAATTTTTAACAAATGTGATATCCTTTGAGTTTTTTTTCAGGTTACCTGCCTCCAGCCAGGGTCCTGTTACTAACTCACATTTTTAGGGATTACTATCCTACTGCTTTACATTTTTAGAGCTGATTTACATCTCTATCTTTTTGTTAGTGCTTTGTGTAGCATGGTTATATTTGATTACAAAGTTAATTTTATTTTGTTGCTATTTCCCTTAAAGGGCCACAAGCCAACTTGCCCTTCATTTTCATGATTTTTTTTTTATATATACATGCCTTTAATTAGTGTAGCCTGCTGAGTTTCACATATCAGTTAGGATTTACTTTCTTTTATTTGTGTTTTCTCTGCATCACGTTTTTACATGACACGTAGATCAGGGTGCAGAACATTTCTTCTTTAGATAATTCACAAAAGGCATCCACATTTTCCCAGAGGCACCCATAGATAGGTTTTGATTGATTTCTTTGTTTTGCATCAAATGCTATCTATCGTGTGGGCTGTCTCACTTTGTCTCCTTCTCCGAGCTCGTATGGACTACATCCCATCAGAGGGGCCGTCTTCACCATCCTTCAACTGGTTTTCTGTCGCATGGGGCTTCGGTCGTGGTTCGAGATGGGTCGAGGTCGTCACTGGACTTCGCCTGGACTACGCCTGAGGAATACATCATCTGCCCAGCTCCGTGTGGCACACGAGCTGCTTATCCTTTGCATACCTTTGCATTATTGCTGATGAAATTAACTGCTATTGGCATAGCTCAGCTTTCAAGATTTCCTAAGTGGATTACTTTACAATGATTGCAACAGTTTTGGCCTTAATCATCTGATCAGGATAGACTCCCTTCTACACGAGACCTGTGGAGACGCTTCATCGTTCCTGCCTTCATCTGGGATGTCTACCTTCACGAGTACATCACGTTATTGTGTTTGTAACGGCAGGTGGCCTGTGCTTGACCACCATGTCGTCACAAAAAGGGGGGGTATGTAACGTGAGGAAATATGGGTTTTCTATCACAAAGGTGGTGTTGGACTCAGCTGTGTCAAAGCTGGGTCGCTGAGAACTTTCACCCACAGATTAAGACCTGAACGCCAGCGAGTCTGGGAGGAAACCATAACATCAACCACCTGCAGTCTACCAGAAGATGTGTTTACATGAGTTGTACCCAGACCAAGTCAAAACATAAAGTTTAAACTTCTTTTTCTTGATTTTAATGTTAAAATAACCATTATCATTTTGCTCATTATAAATGTATTTAATCAAATGAATGGTTCTTATGCTTTGGGGTAATTATAATGGATTAATGAATCCACACTTAAGTAGATAATGTTGAATGTTTGGTACTGACCTTCACACTCAAGCACACAAACATCCACACACACCTTCCCACAGTAAAATCCAGACACATTTGATGACGCACATGTTTTTGCTTTGAGAAGAGAGGTTTTTGGTAAGTTTCAGTCTTTTGTAGACAGTTCGTGTTGGACAACGAAAGAGTGTGGACCTGAAAACCGAAAGGGGGGCAGAGCCGGCTGGCTCGTTTCTCCCCCCCTTTCACGCTGTTTCTGCCAAGCCAGGCAGAATAGCTGAACCGCAACTTCTAACGCAGACTCATTACCGAGTCTTTTGATTTCTGAGTGAATTAACTTAAGAAAGCGCGTCGACAAAACGCTTTACCATCAACGTGTACCGAGGGGCAACTCTGGACCGGGTCGCAGCGCATCTTTGTCTTCTTTGCCAGCCAAGGTGACCTGGATGAAACATCCTAAGGTGACGTCCCGGGTCCAACAGAGGGTCCGATTTTCGGTGAGGCAAAACACGACAGATAGCGTTTTGATGCATCTTTTCCACTAAACCTAAGTTTATTCAAACCATCACTTCACTCAGACACCTGTTTCTTCCTGAAGCAACATCAGATGCACACATGCATTCATCTCATCTCATGTTCCATTCTCACTACACTTGGCACCCACATGCATCCATAATCACATCATATCACTCTCAATCTTCATTCACCTACAGAAGGTCTATTTGAGCATTAACAGCATATCAACTGTTAAAAAGATTGTCCCACAAAGTTATCAATGTTGATTGTATTTCCTGTTTGTCAATTTCAAAATCATTAGTTTAATTTGAAGAATTAAAACTTTTAAACGTCAAACTGGTTTCCTCATTGAACTGAAACACAGACACTCAGATATTATCGGCAGTTTATGGATGAAAACAACCTTTGAGTCTTCTGAACAATATAAAATTTGGTTATTGATTTATTAAAATTAATATTCCGAATTAATACGTAGCATGGTTTCTCTTTCATAAAAGAGCATAAATCCATAACGCTACAGCTAGAACTGACTCACCGTTTCATGAGCTCTGTTTTAATATTCTAATATTATGAATTCTTGTCCAATCGGAACATGCCATGTTAAGGGATATTACCAAGAACCTCAGAACATCACGCCTTCTTTCAGATACCGGATGCTCTGATTAGAGGTAAAGAAATATCTATGTGTCATGAGTTTAACTTAACTTTAATTTGTCTCTCTAATGGACCTTGTGTCTGATAGGTGATGATTGCCTTGTCATATCAAACATTACTGATTACCATTTATATAAATCATTCTATGTAATAATTCATTTAATTTCAAACTTTCAGTGGTTCAAGCACAGATTAATCAAAACAATATTGGTAATTTCATATAATGTTTGTTCTTTCCATTTACCGAATGATTAACTCATATAAGCTGAAAACAGCCACTCTTATAACAGTCCAGTCCAGCCTAGATAACCAGGCAGGCTTGGCACAGAAGGGCCTTGAGAAGGGAACAGTTTGTTGGCAATACGTAATCATCTGTTCCGAGCTGCAGAGAGGCCCGGACTCCAGCTGATGGAATGGCAGGATCTGGCAGATTAAAGGCCACAAATGTGGACTCCTGTCTCCATATAACCAAATACTGAAGGGGTCAAACTGTACATGAAAACTGACCATTCCTGGACATTACACAGCATGAATGTATTTGTCAATGCATCTCTTCTAACTTCATATAAATGCACCCACGTCCTTTGGCTTCACATCTAGCATTAGGCTAAATTATCACAAAAAAATCAGTCATAATAATTAGGGTCTGCCTTCTGCAGGGATCCAAGCTTGCTATCAGGGTGGCACTAGCCCACCCTGGAATGCTCCGAACCACCCCAATAACAATCTTTCCCTGCATTAGCTCTATAGAGTCACAAGAGCCGTCCTACAACCCACATGAGAAAATTTAGAATTGATGAACACCAATAAAAAGAAGACAAAAAGCCTGCCAACAGATTTAAATAACATCAAACCCCATGTTTATTGGATGGCTGTGGCTCAAGAGGAAAAGCAAGACATTGATTCCCAAGTGGCCCCCAATTTCCAAATCAATGCAAGTGAAAGAGTGAAAACTTGTGTAAAAACACTGAATGGTCTGGAGGATCAGAACACTTCTACAAAAATACAGTCCATTTACCTTTTGATGTTGCTTTTAAGCCGAGTTTATCGGGCTGGGGTAGAGTAAGTAAAGTCTGTGGAACTCTGTGTAATCAGACAAAATGACTAAACTCTATAATTAAGTACTGTTGAAAACACAGTGGAATAAGTGTGTAGTTTCAGAGTAAAACAAGGCCATCAGCGGAGACAACAATAGAACCAGAGGCTATAACTCCCTTTCTTAAAAACAGTCACTCTCCAGCTCTAATCCTCAGATGGAGCATCATCCAACCATGAGACCTGAAACATTTCTGCTCTCAACACTGAATATGACATTAGTGGCTAATAGCAGTCACAGCCTCTGAGCTATGGCACAGGAGGCAGCGAGCTGCAGCACGGCAGCATCCTGCAGCAGAAGCCTTAAAAACCCCTCTTGGTGCTGAGCTGGTAACTAAAACAGCCAGGAGGGCATTTCTTCCGCCTTAACAGTCACAGCAGGGGTGCAAATTCCCTCAATAATCTGCTGCCATTAAAAATAAATGTGCTCTCACGCTGGAAGGCAGAGTGTGAGCACAATAAGATAAAAAAAAACAACAGTTTAATGTGTAACATAACTAAAGCTTGTGCAGTGTGTGTTCCAGCACCTGTAAGATGCGATCCCCCTCTCGAATGCGTCCATCTCTGGCAGCGATACTGTTCGGACTGACCTGTTGAAGACACAAAGTGGGATATCTGAAATGCTCACATTAAACTCAGTTGCCGTGTTTATCGCAGCAGTCGTTGCGGTGCTGGTTGTAGGAGGCTGGCAAAGCCTTTAACTCCAGCCACTCCACGCAGCTGCTCTTCCTATGACTAACTCTAGTCAACAAGGGAGCAGGACGCTCTTTCATCAAGTCAATCAGCAGGTGTTTGAGACCATTTATCTCAATTTCTCCCATCAGACTAGAACTGTAAAGACACTGAGACACTCCATCTTTATGTTGGTTCTCTCTCACACAGAAGGACACTAATTAAACTGGCTGAGACGTTCCTGGAGGTGAAAGACTGAGAAGAACGGAGGAAATTAGAGGTAAACGCCCTGCAGTTTAGAGGTTGTTGACGGAAACTAAAAGTTAATGAAACATAAGATGTTGTTATTATAGCCTGCCAGAGGAAGAGGAGAGGAGACGATAATAGATATGTGTTTTTAAAGTTCGCGTTTTTATTTCATTTTATTTCATTTCATTTAGTCATTTATAAAGCCCCTTCTGTGACCAATGCAGACACCCAAGGTGCTGAACACAACACAATAAAAACATAAAACCATCAGAATAAAATATAACAATCACAAAACCTACATTAAAAAAATTAAGAGGGGAGAGTAAAAACAAAAAATCAAATCCTGAAAAAGATTAAGAGGCCGGGGCTACGAAACCAGGTAAAAATAGCTAATCCTGGAATGCCTTGACAAAAAAATGGGTCTTAAGGCAAATCTTAAAAAAAAAAAACCCATGAGGGTGACTGACGCACCACCAAAGGCAACTGGTTCCAAAGTGCAGGTGCCAACACAGAGAACGCAAGTGGATCACTGCTGTAGTTAAACACCTACTCCCTGTGACCCTAGTAAGCATAAAGCGGTTCAGATGGATGCTACTGTGAAATAATATAAACCACAGCAACACAATTGTGATAACATCAGATTTCACAATAAAATTAGTCTGATTTTATGAATTAAACTCATGCTGCCAGAGTGTGTTGTGAGCATGGTTTGCTCTACGGTCCCAGTTTAGACTCTTTTTTCCCCACAACTCTTCAACAAGAGCAATTAGCGGTGAGATATTCTTGCATTGATAACTCCATTAGAATGCCCAACATCTCCTCTAAAACTGTAACCAGTGATACTGAGCCACCTTCTTTAAATGCACTACATCCTCCTTCCTTTTGTCTATGAAGACAGTAAAGACAGGAGGACTGTGGCCGAGACCTACAGATGACTGTGATTTATATTCTGCTCAGCTCTGGAAGCAAACACCATTTCATGGTCTGAGACAACTTCAAAAGGATTTGGGAAGAAGTTGAGCTGCACGGAGAACACGATCTTCACTGCTTTTGAAAAGTTCACGAATGAATCAACAAAAAGTAAGTCTTGTTTTTATCAGAGCGTGCTTGTTGGCTGCGGCTCTGAGGCAGTCTAAATAACACCACACATTCACTCTCCTTTTGTTTTGTTATGATGGGTTTTATTTGGGCTTCCTCTGCCCTGGTGGTCGTCTGGATTTACCAGCCGAGTGTGTAATCAGGCAGTCAGATCCTCTGTTCAGTAATGTGATCTACTTTAGTTTGGAAGCACTTCATCTGATGCAGACACCTGCTCCGCTCACATGAATACTGAAGTAAATCAGAAATTAAATGATGAATAATAAACGTCACTCCTGATTTAGACGGAGAGACACGCGATTCTCACTCGTGAACACACTTCTCTGAGGTCCTCTGATCTACAAAGATGATTGTTGGTTTTTACAACAGAGAATAAAATGTAAATGCAAGACTTCAAAGAAATTAAAATGTCGGTAGAATATGCATGTGGCTTTTGCCGCAGGAGGATTCGTATTTTCCATTTTGCATCGGCCAGCACTGCAAACTTTGTGGGTAAGAGAGGAATTCATGAAAAAATGACTGATAAAAGATGGAGAAGATAGTATTGAGTGCAAACTTTTGATTAATTTTTAATCTCCTCATAAAGGACTCTTAAAGCTCCATACAGTGAGCAGTAAATACTGTGTTAGAGCATTTTTCTCACCATTTTGTTTTATTAACAGCTGCCGTTGAGTATCACAGCAGTCCCTTTGTCATCTGAAGAGAGCAGTATCTGAGTTTTGTGCACACCGTGGACACTACTAACTTTATTTTCACACTGTGTTGTGCTTTTGAGGGCCATTGTGCATTCAGTTGTGCAGTAAAACAGTGATAGTAACAACATTTATTACATTATTTACCAAATATAGCTTAGGCATAAAAGGACAATGTTTTCTTATAGAGTTCTTTTTGCCAACCAATAATCAGGAATATTCATTGTGGTTAAAAAAAAAGAAAGAAAAAATAAACTATTTCATCTCCAGTGAGTCATGGAGGTCTGAAACTCAGTTTTACTCTTTCTCTGAAGCCATGGAGTTTTTAAACTGAATTAATTTCATGTCATCCCTTTTACTTCCTGGCTCTGCTCTATTTTTGCATTCACTCCAGAAGGGAAGGGTGTCCCAGTTGTGTGTGTTTTTTAATGCAAAGCAAAGGAACAGAGCTCTCTAGCTCCTACAGGGTGAATGTTCTTCAACGACATGATTTGAAACACTGGAAAAGGAAATTTCTCTGGAGGCAGGCGTTGCAGATTTGCAACGTTAAAACCTACCTACCTGGTTACTCCACATACGTATTTCATGAGCATTTTTTAACTCAGAAGTACCCCTGAAGGACTTAGTTGCTCGTCCTTTTATCAAAACTTATTTTGAGCCTGAGAGGGTTAAACTAAGTTACTACTGTAAGTATTTTCTTCAATAAAACTAATTAAATGTAACAACAACCACCTCAGTGTCTAACTTAACTGATTGATTATATGTAATGTATTTTTCCTGATATCCAGTAACTAATGTTGGGGGGACCATACATTTACCAAACCTGTGGAATGGGCTTCCTTTGCTTGTGAGGCAGGTTCCCTCAGTGCAGTCTTTTAAGCCTTCTTCCCCCGTGATCCTTGGTTTTGTTGTGCTCTTTCATTGTTCGTGACTTTCCAGGTCATGCCAGAGTTTCTATTGGTTTTCTTTGTATTTTAGACTTTTTTTATTCTACTTTTATAATATACTTTGTCTCTTGAATCTATTTTTATCTTGTTTTAGTTTTATTGTTCCTGTAGGAGTGTGTTGGTGTACAGCACCTTGGGCCTCCGAGAAGATGGTGGGAGGTGATGTTTATCTTTAATAATTATCCTTAAAAAGCATAGCCTCAATTCATGTCGCCAGTCACACGTCCACGTGTCTTATTTCAAGCACGGCCTCTACCAGAGGTCTGAGAGCTCGAGGGTTCATAGCTGCATCTTATCTGTTCATGTTCCGGGGCAATGGTGGCTCAGAGGTTAGGGGTTCATCCTGTAATTTGTGGGTTGTAGGTACGAATCCAGTCTCAATCACTCATAGTGTCATTAGGCAAGACACGTCACGGTCCTTGCCTGATGGTGGTGGTCAGCGGGACCGGTGGCAGCCTTGCCTCTGTCAGTGAGCCCCAGGGCAGCTGTGGCTACGATACAGCTCATCATCATCATCATCATTAGTGTGTGAGTGAATGGGTGAATGACTATCTGTAGTTTAAAGAACTTTAGAGTCCTCTGACTCAAAAAAGTGCTATACAAGTAATTTATTGTTGATATACAATTGAAATGTACTCTTCAGGAAAACTTTCATCCGGTGGGCTATGATACTGTAGTAGAATATCCATCTCTGAATTTCCATGGTAGATAGTCTGGGTAAGCACTGCACTGCAACAAGCAAAATTAGTAAAGAATGAAACCCTCAGCCAGAAACGAGCTTAAATGTAACTAAAACAGAATCATATTCCCCTTCACCTCAGCCGATAGACAAGTTCAAGTTTCTATTCTAGTTCTGAAAAGGAAGAAGCCAGGTACTCACCTCACTAACATAGATGGCTACGTCCTCTTCTTCATCTGTCCGGTAGCACAGAGTGAGACCTAATTTCTCCAGACTGCTGAGTCGACAAAGCTCAATTTCCTGTGTTAGTAAGGTGAAGGAAACAGGAATTCAGTAGATGACATGTGGACTGAAACCCACAAAAGACACGCTGACAAGAAAACCCAGAGAAGTTGAAGATCACAAACCAATGCTCTTTAGCTCCTGGTCTACTAAAATCTTCCCTGTTTTGTCTTTTGGTTTCAAACTCTCGAATCTCAAGGTTTTCTGAGTCTGAAATATAGTGTTTGATGATGAAAGGCATTCTCAGCTTGATGGTTTCGACCAGAGGGGCTGTGGTAAAGCTCAAGATGACCTCAGGCGTTATTGTTTAAAAGTCTTATCAGCTGTAGAGTATTGCACTACAAACTAATTAAATCAACGCTAACATTTTTGCTAGTCTGTTTTCCTTCCAAGCATCTCCAGAGTTAATGTCCAGGAGCCACTTTCCTACAACTCTGCAGTTTTCACTTTGCCACAACTGAGAAGCAACCAAGCACTAAACAGCCCTAACCCAGTTTCCCATTTGGAGAAAAAAAAATCCCTGAAACTTATCAAGGGCTGATTGAGGGAATCAAGTGTGAAATGGCCTCCACCTCCCAAGGTCTTCATTAGAGCAGAAACACACTGTCGCTCAGCAGCAGGACCGAAGTGGTTGAGTGGAGACAAGGATGGAGGATGGAGAGAGAAATGAGGTGGCAGCGAGGACTGTGACGGGCTCACAGGGGTCTCGCGCAAAAGGAGGAAGTTCATTTTGTCGGTGACAAGTGCAGGTGGGGTGTTTACGTGTGTTAGATGCAGCATGGCCTCAGGACAGGGAGTGGAGGCGTGGGATGGTGGTGCACTGACTTTCACTTTTCAGCTGTTTATCACTCCTGAGTCACACACACACACACACACACACACACACACACACACACACACACACACACACACACACACACACACACACACACACACACACACACAGAGCTTTAGGCTCCACTAAGACTCCTTTTTACATATTTGTAACTTTTACCTCTCTCTCTCTCTCTCTCTCTCTCTCTCTCTCTCTCTCTCTCTCTCTCTCTCTCTCTCTCTCTGTCTCTTCACCCTAACCTAATCAAAACATAATTCACACCATGCTTTTAAAACCAACAAGTGAGGACCAGGAAGAATGTCTTCACTTTATAAACATTGTGTCATGGATTGTCAGTGTGTAGTATAGACAAGAGTACACACCAGAGGTCATGCTAGACGTTTTAGTTGTACTTCATTTTAACAGACAGGGTTTAAAAAAACATGATTAATTTATCTCCAGTCACTTTCATTCACAAAATAATAATGAATTAAAATTCAATTGCTTTTAACTTTCATTAATTTTTATTTAATATTTAGTCTAAATAGGCTGACCAGAGAGCCCGGTAGCATATTAACGTTGCAATTAAAACAATTTCACTTAAAGTAGGAACTTTTCACCTGCTATGGTCTGCCCTGAATGCACAGAGTCACACCGTCCTGCTCCATGCAAACTGTGCACCTGCTTGTGCATAATCAGATATCTAAGGGGTTGATTTATTTTATTTCTGTAATGAACTCTTTGCATTTTAAATGTCTGCACACCTGAAAGTCAGGGTGTGAATTGCATTCTCTCTAAATTACCAAAATTATTTAGGTTTTTATATCAGCGTTACAAAATAAGAGGAGAAAAATGGAAAAAATCCAGTTAACGCAACCCCTGGGACACACACACACACACACACACACACACACACACACACACACACACACACACACACACACACACACACACACACACACACACACATGCTTTTTGGTCCTGCAGCTGCAGAGCTGAACACTTCTGCAGACACTTACCAAACTAATCCCTGGATCTCTGCACACATTCCACTCCAAATGTAAAACATCTGCACAAACAGAGGAAATGCTCAATAGCAGCACCAGTCGAAGGTGTCGTTTTCTTGTTTTTTTCTTGTTTTCAGTGTTTCTCAGCTTTACTTGAATACCTCAGAAGCACTAACAAGAACTGAGGGCACTAGTTCAAAACTTTTCTAATTATTAGGGCTCAGTTGGGTCATCTGCTTTAGCAGTCATGTGTGCAGCTTGAGTAAACAGTGTACTTCCTTTATGCTGAGGTGATGTGTGAAATTGTGTTGTATCACTGGTTGGTACAGAAATCACTCGCAGAGTCTCGGAGACGTCTCTAAAAATAAACCACACAAATTAACGAGGCAGAGAGGAGGTGTGAGCAGGTGCTGCTTGATCCCCATCTGCAAAACAAGCCTGAAGTTACTCACAACTAATTAATGATACATCTAGAGCATGAGACCTGTGGCCAAATGATCAGAGAAAAAAATTCTATAAAACCAAAACAGATTGTTGCTGTTCAGTGTGTGAGCCTTTCTTCTACTTCATATGCTTTTGAGCTTGCTGGCTTTCTGAAAATATCGTGTGAAACATCACCCACTCACTCAGATGCCTCTGTTAAAGGTGACTCTCTCCTGAACCATCAAAAACACATTCACCAATCTCTGTCTCATCTCTCTGTTTGATTTTTTCCCCTCTTCTCTCTATTTTCCCAGCAAGCTCTCTGCCTCTCAGGCATGAGATTGTGGAGCGGCGCGGGGATGAGGGCTGACAGTAAATTAGCGACTGAGATGGCATGATTAAGAGGAAGATTGCTGGCTGTCATCAAAGCACATTGGATGCTGTCATAATAACCATGCCTTTGATTACTGGTAATTGAAAAAAGCCGTTTGCAAATGCATTGATGGTGACCACAGGCAGGAGTACTTCACTTCCTCAGAACTCATCAGAAGTAATCAAATAGATGGTTCCTAACACGTTCCTGGAGTGGTGCACGCATCCAGGTTTTCCTGGGAAATCCACAGTGTTAAGGCTATTAAACTGCTGCAATAAGATCTGGCCTTTGTAGTCTAACAATTCAAAAGATTAAAAAGAAATTCACTTGTAGTGGCAGATGAATTATATCTCCCCAAAATTAACAGTTAAATTAGATTTCTAAAACAGGAACGGCCACAATTTTATGCACTGATTCTTAGAAATCTGTTCCACTAAACCAGGATTTACTTTAAAGTCCAATTTTAACTCTTGTTACTTTAAATCTTCCATACATTGTTGAAAAAATCTTATTTTATTATTATTTCATTCACCTGCTCCATCATTGCCTCTATTCAAGTATTTAAACATTATACATATTCAATTCAATTCAAAGATACTTTATTGATCCCAGAGGGAAATTCAGTACACACAATTCTGAGATCAGACATACATAAGCTAAGACACATTTATATAATTTGTTTTCATATTTAAACATATTTAATTTGTTTTCAAAGAGCTTTATCACATAGATAGAGATGGAGTGAGGCTAAAGTTTAAAATGCTGCCCTTCATGTCCATAAAAAGAAAAAAATATATACAAAATGTTTTATTTCTTTAGAACTTTGACGTTATTCATCAACTTTTAATTCAAATATCTTCATGTCCCTTTTAGGTATTTTTACCAACGTGGTTGATCACGATGCTCTGTCCGTGGTGCTGAAACCACACTTAAAGCCTGATTCATGCTTCTCCATCAGCTCCACGAGGGAGAGACACGCATGGACGGAGATGTTTAGCTCTCATACTTCTCTGTCTCCTGGAGAGCGTTGCAAAGCAATTCCCCACCAGGACAACAGAGGGCGTAGTGCTGTTCTGCGGTATCCTGTCATGTATCCGGTCCAAGACAGTGTGTTTATATTGGGCTTTTTTTGTATATGAGACTTTTTAACAGGGATAAATTTGCCTCTCATTCTACTCCACCTCTTCATGCACTCACCACCTCTAAACTCACGTTTCCTGTCATTTCCGTCCGCAAATAAAACGATTGCTGCGCATCTTTTCACTCCTCCAGTCACGGGGGAATTAAACGTTCATGTTTTTAGAGTTTTTTCACGAGGTATTCTTCAAGCTTCTCCATGTGTGCCGCTATTTATTCTCAGCTCTCTTTATGTTTTTGAGGGCTCAATGGTGGCAGTATAGACGGCAGCGGTGCCCTGACCAATCACAAGCTTGCATTCTCCGTCTCGACGGATGGATGTGTGTGTGTGTATATATATATATATATATATATATATATATATATATATATATATATATATATATATATATATATATATATATATATATATATATATATATATTGCCCTGCGATGGACTGGCTCTCTGTCCACGGTGTACCTCGCCTACTTGCCTGTTGACTGCTGGAGATATATATATATATATATATATATATATATATATATATATATATATATATATAGTTTTCAGTATAATAAACTTCATGTGTTTATATACACACATGCATACAGTTTATTGAACAGAGAAACTTGATTGTGTTGTGTGGTGTGCAGTAAAGGGGTGAGGTTTCAGGTGTGTACTGTGTGTGTGTAATTTTGATGTGTGAAAGCTATTTTTAAATCTTTGTACTTAGTTGTTTTTTGTTGTTTTTTTAAGTAAAGAACTTTGTGATGAGTTCATCTTGAAAAGGGCTCTACAAATAATGTTTGATTTGATTTGATTCATGAAAATATCTGTGACATCAACAGTTATTTACCTTCTGGAGTTCTTTCCTTGTAGTAAACAGTTAATCTAATGTTGACTTGAAACATCTGCTCTTCTACAAACATATATATTCAGACTGAAGAGGGTTTCCCACAATCCGCTGGTTAAAACTAAGTCACATAAAAGAACATTCAAAAAATTTCCGTTAAGGAAAATTCTAAATCCGTGATGATGAAACTCAGTGATAAAACTTGGTGTTGCTAAACAGACCCCTCATTATTACACTATCATCATCTTGTTTAACTTATAATGAGAAAATAATGTTGCATCATAGTTCATGTAGAAAGCTACATGAAAAGGAACAAAAGCAGGTGTGGTTGTTAATCCAGTCAAATCAAATCAAAGAGACTTTATTAATCCCAGAGGGAAATTAGAGTTTCAGCACACACAATTCAGAGATCAGACATACATGGACAAGACACATGACAAGAATTGGTGACTGTGGTCATTCGCAACCCTGAGTCGTGCTACTTTAATAGAGATAAGAGGGGTTACGTGAGGATTGGTTCAGGTAGAGGGAAAAAAGGCACTTCAGAGTTACCCTCCACCAAGGAGGGCAGCTTTGCTCGGCAAAAAACACCTCAAACACACATGCAACAGACTTCAGACAACACAACATAAGTGTACACTAGGTGGGGTGATGGGTTGGGACTATCCCCATTTCAGTTCCTGCAGCCACAATAGAAGCAGCGCATGTCACCTCAGTGTGGATAGGGGGAGGAGCATTAAGGGTTGGAGGGTTGCAGTGACCCTGGAACGTTTCAGCGGCCTTCCCACAGTCCCGCCCAGGCTGGGATAGGAGACAGAGTTGAGTTGCCATGCTCAAAATCACCACACAAGTGTGGGTGTTGGCCTTGTTACGATCTCTTGAGACTGAACTGGATCTGGTTCTGAGCTGGTGTCATGATCAAGGTTACAGCCTAATGTGAAATGTGTGATTGCCATGACACCATAAAAGGTAGCGTCCCAGCCAAATTTTGTCCCCCACAAAAAGTAAAAGGAGGTCGGTCTGTTGGAGCAGAAAATCTAATCCAACACAAGCAGGTTCTGCTCCTTCTTCTCTCTTAAACTAAAGCTGATGCAACTGTGGGGCCATCATCTCCCTAAGTTGTGAAATCCTGTTTCAGATGGTAAAACAGCTCTGCAGCTTTTTAGGGTGTGATAATCTCCTTCCTGTTTCATGTCTCAGGGCTTACTTTTACATTGTGTTACTGCACGGATGGTTTCTGTCTGAACAGGCTCATCACAAGGTACAACACATGCATCTGATTCAGGCAGTTAAAGGAAACTTTGGCCATGGAGCAGCTGTAAATAAAATAAAGCAATTCAATGATGACCTTTGACCTTAGACAGGCTTTTCACGCTGGAAAACCATCAGTGGGACAGTCGCTGTAACATTAATATGCATTTTATTACAATAACATGTTAATTTTAGTGGGATCAGGAATCTCTCGACATCAGTAACATCCTGGTGTGAAGGCATGGGAATTTGAATGTGATATCATCTCAGTCATGATTCTATTCTCAGGGATCATTTCTGCTCTGAAGATGCTTTCTAGCTTCTGCCTCTGTCTCCCTCGCTGTGTTTTCAGCTGCAATACAGCAACCTAAGCCCCCCCGAGCATGGGCACCATCAAAGGATTTGTTAATAGCAATGAGGCGTAAACAGGCACTTTAATATATGATATATTTTGGATGTGACATTGAGGCCTCTGCGATCCAAGTGGGTGCAAGAATCTGGCGAGCAATCATCATACATGAGCCCATTTGAAGGCTTTGGTGGGTGTACGCTCACACATCAGAGACGCAGAAATAAAGAATACTGTAGCAAAGCTGCAGTTTTGTGTTCATCTTCTGTCAATGTAGAAACGGGATGTTTACAGAAGAGAACAACTGTCCCTCTGCTCTGCTTTTTAAAGAATGGTCTACTTTTTAATCAGAACAGCGTCTGCCACCCATGCCTTGTTACCTGGGCTTGATCAGAGTCAACACTCTTGTTAGGATTTTCTTCCTGAGTTGTAAAAATCAATTAGCAAATCGGTGGCAATGCCTCCTATTTTCACCTTGTGTTCAGGGAATTACGAAACAGGAAGTCATGGAGTTACTTCCAGTGGAATGACACTTTAGTTCTGAACATTTGTGGTGTGAAGGATCATGTTTTTAAACCCTCTATACTGGGAACTGCCTACTGCAATAATTCATATTTAAGCTCTTAAACCAATCAGTAGATCCAACTAGCTTAAATCATTGAGGTCTTGAACATTTTTAGCATGTTATTAAAAAGCAAAAAGCAAAAAAATAAAAAATAAACTAAAAAATAAATCAGATCGCTACTCATCATAAACACATACAGTGACATGAGTTATTGGATGTCTTTCAAAATCAATTTAACTAATTACTTATTTTTCTTGATTAGAGCTTTAAACTCTTAAATATGTACAGATCCTTGTCACACAGCAAATCCGCAAAACAAAATAGCTTATAACATATTTTCATGCCTCTTAGCAGCGTATGTATGTATATATATATATAACATTGTTTTTATTAAAAAAAAAGAACTCAATAGTTAAATATCCAGGGTAATTAGTTACTTTTCCAAGCTTGGATCTCAGTAACTTACTCAGTTACTTTTTCACAAAGTTTATGTTTATGTTTACGTTTTTAAATGATAAATGATAAATTACCTGCACTTGTCTAGCGCCTCTCAGAGTTAGGACTCAAAAATGCTTTACACTACACTGTATTATTCATCCATTCACACACTGATGATGATGAGCTACGATGTAGCCACAGCTGCCCTGGGGCGCACTGACAGAGGCGAGGCTGCCGAGCACAGGGGCCACCGGTCCCTCCGACCACCACCATCAGGCAAAGTGGGTTAAGTGGACAAAACAGCAGAATTCTCTGTCCGCAGCCAGGATCAAACCTGCAACCTTCTGATTACTGGACAACCCGCTCTACCTACTGCCTCGTCCAAGCCTCACAATACTGCTTTTTGAGCTTTTGTCCAAAGCAACTTGCACGTGATAATCAAGCCATCAGGTTGCCCTTGAGGCTAACAACAAACAGTAATTTCTGTCATTCCAATAATTACAAAGTGATTAGTAACTATAACTAACTACTTTGTTAAAGTTACATTCATAATGCTGCTAATTACGTATCCCTCTATAAGTAGTCATCAGTGTTCCTAATAACTATCAGATCCCACTGCTGGTTTGGTTAGTGTGTTTAATAATGCTTTAATAATGCAGATGACACCACCATGTATGTACTCATCTCTAACAATAACAAACACCATTATCGTGAACAGGTCTTCCAAGCAGCTACATGGTGCCAAAAAAATAACCTCCAACTCAACACGTCAGAAACACAGGAACTTATCGTAGATTTCTCACGCTCTCCTACTCATTAAACACCCATCCTCATTTCCACACAACCTGTCACTACTACAGAGTCCTTTACATTTCTGGGCACATACATTAGTCACTCCCTCAAATGGAAACAGCACTCAGAACAGGCTTACAAAAAGCCATTACAAGATTATTTATTTCTCAGACAACAAAAAAAAACTTGAGTAAGGCACAGCATGCTTGTACAGTTCTTTAAAACATCATTCAAAGTACATTCACCTCATCTATAATAGTCTGGTAGGGTAATTTGGACGCATAACAGACAAATCAGCTAAAATTATAGGCCATACCCCACCTTCCACTGACACACTGTACCATAGACGCATCATACAATGGGCAGGAAAAATCACCTCGGACCCCTCTCACAGTGCACATCATCTGTTCACACTACTGACTCCTGGAAGATGCTACTGGTCTTTACAAACTAAATCAACTAGATTCAAAAACATTTTTTCCCCCAACAGCTATAAGGTCACAAAATCAATTACCTTCTTAATGTTTTTGTATGTCCCTGTCTGTTCATCATTAGTTGCATCATGTGTAGACAGCATGTCAGGCTGCGCCGGAAACAAACGCCACCAACTTGTTTTCTGGTCATAAATTAATCTGGAAAAGCTACACTGAACTGAGCCAAGTGGTACTGTGTTAAGCAAGGTAACGGAGCATCAGAGTGCTGTTTCCACTCAGGTCTTTGCCTCTGTTGTAAAAATTTTATTTCTAGGTTTAAACTGATTGTAACTACATTTTATAACTAATATATCCATAAATTCAATGCATCTGTGTTTTAATAAAGCTTTTTCAGTCTGATCAAATGTACGTATTTCCTACCTCATACTCAAATTCCTCTGTTCTTTCTCCGTCAGCTGGAACATGGGGGAGGTAGTCGGTACCATCGTAGTAATCCTGGTCCATTGCATGAAGAGAATGACAGCTGTCAGGAGACAAGGAAACAACAGGGAGGGAGGGAAAAGAGACAGGGATGAAGGATGAGATGTCATGCATTAGCAGGATTATTGTCTTTTATTTTCTCTCAGCATTTTAAAATCTTAAAATCCCAAAGTGACCAGATTTAGTTGTTTTTGTCTTTGATGGAAACAGAAGAGTAAAGGATTTGGGCGAAGCTTTTACTGACGCGGGAGCGTGTGATCAAAGCACAGCTCCTAGCTAACAACAGCATATCCACAATCTGTAATTTACTTCCTGCTCTTGACAGACAACGTCCCCCCCCCCCCCCCCCCCCCCCCCCCTTTACAGTGTAATTCTATTATGCTCCCTTCAGTTAGCAAACAAAACTGTATTGTGAGGCTTGGACGAGACGTGTGGCGGCTTCGGTGCCACACAAGATTATCATTGTGGACAAAATCCTTCAGAAACAGTCTTCTTGAACATGCTGAGTGATGTCTTCAGACTGTGGGACAAAGCAGTGCTGTAAAAGTGTGTTAGAACAAGCTTTCATTGATTAAAACAGACGAGTAAATGTCAAAATGCTTGATGCTTCAATATTATCCCTATAGCGCCTAGTAGCAGTGGGAGTCGGTGCCAAAGAATACAATTACAATTTTACAATCCAGCTTCAAACATGAGCTGCCAACCATTTATATCTATCTATAAAAATCTATGAAGACAGCCGTATATTGGATTGTGCACCTGATCTCGGATGAGGAGAAGGAATGGGAGTTTTATGGGACACATTGATTACATTTGGACTCAGCCTGGGGCTGTGTGTATGCTCTGCTTTGTGCTGCCTATTTTTTTTAATTGGCCATTTACTTTAATCACCTTGTAAACTTTACTTGAGTCAAAATGGAACCTCTAAGCATCTCCAATTATGGCAGAAAGTCCCTGAGGGGAACTTTATGGTTACAGTATGTGGGTAGATATGTCATAAATGTGATCAGGTCAGTGTAAAACTAGCATGTGATGCTGATGATTTTGTTTATATTTAATGATGACCTGGGATCTCATCTCTGCATCAAGTCTCCAAAGACAAATGACAACGCATTCATGTTTTAAAATGTTTCTTGTGTTTGGAAATAATAATCCACGCCGCCCAACATGATTTCCCAGTTCTGTGCTATATTCCTTCTGCTCTGCTGGTGCTTCATTCCCTGGAGGTGAAACCCAGATTTTCCTTTATGCTTGTTCACACTTTACTTCTCCTCAGAGATGAACCCAAAATAATGAACCAGCTCCTTTGTAGTTTTGTAAATAAAAAAAAAGCCTCTTGTTGATTTTGGCATTTCTTTGTTTAATTATTATGCTTTAGTTTCACAAATATACATAAACACCCACTTTGAGTCACACTGAACATCTACCTGGGATGTGGTCAAACTTCTGGTGAGCTATGCAAGGCACTCAAACATTTCACCTCAGCAGCCCAATCCCTGAACCTGTTGCAGAACACCTGTTTGTCTCTTTTTGACACCAAGTCACCCTCTAAATGGTTCCACCTGCTGCCCTAGTCCCACAGCTGAATCAACCTTTCTCTACTTTTGTACATCAAAACATCAAACATGGCTTTCGTGATCACCCTAAAACTTTCTTCACAAAAGGCAGGTTTGTTGAAATAGCACATTTAAAACCCCAAAACAATGAAGATAATTTTAAGGCCCCAAAGAGACTTCCTAATGTATTGTGGTTCGTCTGATTAATATTAATTCATTCCATCCTGAAGTTTATGCAAACAGAAATTATAATAACTGAGGCAGCAAACAACATTCCTAATTGTTTCTGTAGTTTCTGTGTCTGTCAGTCACACAGAGAGGGAGGCATCCATTAGAAGTCCCGATCAAATGGATTAACTACCACAGTTTAACTCTGGAGCTGGAATTATGAGGTGAGGTGAAATGTAAGCTGTTTGTCCCAGAATTAGGACATTATGGGAGAGCAGCTGCCTGACAAACAGGGAAGAGAGACCACCAGATGTGGACCTAGGACCTCCTTGGTCTAGGTCCACTGTGCAGCAAGTTAAATAAAATAATAATTTCAGTATAATAGAGCTGAAGAAGAAGAAGAAGAAGAAGAAGAAGAAGAAGAAGAAGAAGAAGAAGAAGAAGAAGAAGAAGAAGAAGAAGAAGAAGAAGAAAAGATATTTTCTACAGCGCCTCTCAAGATAAAAATTACGAGGCGCTTCACAAAAACAAAAAATGTAAAAATATAAAAAATAATTTAGAAAATGATTAAAATATATTTAAAATGAGCAAAAAATAGACAATTGTCATCCAAAATGTAAAGAAAGGGAGAGAGGGGGTGAATAGGAAAGAGGGAAATCACCTGAGGAAGGTGGAATAGGTAGGGAGAGCAGAACCAGGAGATTGTGATGAAGGTCACACAAAAGCCAGCCTGAACAAGTGAGTCTTCAGCTGCTTTTTAAAGGAGTCCACTGATGTCAGGCTCAGGGGGAGAGAGTTCCAGAGTCTGGGGGCCACAGCAGCAAATTACCTATCAAATGTATTATTTGTGCAAACGGAGCAATGACAGCAATGGTGACAACCTGTAAACACTAATGTTTACGTTTATTTATTTGGCAGGCGCTTTTATCCAAAGTGACGTACAATTGTTAAGCTACAGGGCATGTTGTGATTAGACTGAGTTGGAGAAAGATTCCAGGATCTGTCTGCTCCTCTGTCTGTCCAGTGTATGCTGGAGGGGGTGGTCCAGGTTGTCCATGATGGATGACACTTTCAAACTCCATGACCACTGATGGATGGACTTGGATGGACCAGAAAATCACAATGTGCAACTTTCAGCCCAACACCAGAGAACGAGGCAACTCGTGCATTACTACAGACTGGATGCAAGTCCATCAGTCCATTTTCTATCTGTAGTTCACAAGAGATCCCCCCCCCCCACCACACACACACACACACACACACACACACACACACACACACACACACACACACACACACACACACACACACACACACATGCAAACACAAAATGTCGTGCCGTGCTCTGTCAGCTACAACCTAGCTATTGGACTAATTGAGAATCTTCTCTTCTTTTCCTTCCATTTACTGTCCCGTTGGCAAAGGAAGATGTGAAGGACATGCCCAGATCCATTCATCAAACTAATCTATATTTGTCAGAGCTCATATGTAGCTCGTTAGTCAATTCATTTTTCGTTGTCCTGAAACACTTGTGATGCTAATCGTGCAGCATGAATATTTCTGCATCAAAGCTCACCGACATCTCTCACTAATCTTTTCTTTTCTTCCTTCTAATTATCACCAGTCACAGCAAAAGCCAATGCAAGGACACCAAAAACAAATTGTTTTGCATTTCGTGGCAGTGAACCAAAAACTTGGCATTTGTATCAAATGACGACAAAATAAAGAAACTCTAATCTTTATGTTACAACGCAAAACCTTACCATAGATAAAAAAAAATGTAAAAAACTATTTTTAGAGAGACAGAAAATAATTAGGTTTGAGTTACCTGTCAGAGAGCAGGAAGGGACAGATGTCAGGCACAGGAGGGGTCGAAGGTCGGAGTTTTGCCAGAGCCATGATGTGTTCAAAGGTGATGTCAGTCTGTGTGCACACATCCACCACATGGATTTCCTGAGGGGGACCGTGAGGGCGGCCACTGGGGGTACGTCTGATGACCTGCACCACAACGGGGTCCTTGGCAGCGTGGAAGGCCTCCACTGAGTCCTCATGGCTGGACTTGGACAACTCCTTCCCATTCACCTGGACAAGACAGGAGAGCTGTTTTTTTAAATGTTGCCAGCAATAAGTAAAATATTCCTTTTCCCTTTTTTTGCCCTCAGTGTCTTCGTGTGCCTGTTGCTATAGGAACTCCTCAGTCCGAAGGGTTTCCTGACATTTGACTAAGTCTATGTTTGAATTGTCTACTTGGTCACAATCAGAATAAAAAAAATCTGTCTATCCACCTTTTAATGATACCATCATAGTTACTGTTGTTGTACCTTTGTACTGTGGGTACTTGTTGGTAACTGTGAAGTTTCTACCTATTAGAGATCAGTCTTGTAAATTTGGTGGCAGTCCTGTACCAGAGACTTGAGAAGCAAAGGTATTTTTTTAAGTTTATTTCAGTAATCATCCAAAACAAGACTAGAGTCAGTAATTTCAGTTTAACTTAATTTATGTAGCAAAATACAGAGAAGTGGCATGGTCAGGCTGCTATGGAGGCCTGGCGACTTTGGAGTTGTAAGGTGGCGTTCCACATGCCGAAGAGGTGAGGCTGGGTCGGCAGAGAGGAGCAGGAACTGGTGACAGAGAAGGCCAGAGGACAAAGCGAGGTTGGAGAGGGAGCTAGCCGGCGAGTAGCAACAGCTTACAGTAGCCGTTTTTACAAAACAATGCCATCAAATAGCCGCAATGCCGTGGCGGCATCAGGGATCTTTTAGGTTGTTTATCAGACCGTGGCTGTAATGTGGCACAATCATGTCTTTTTATAAAAGAATAGGTGATGGCGGCATAAAGAGGGTATGGGGTTGTCTGCGCTGCCACAGACTTCTGTTTATCTTGGACATGACTTGCGTTTTACTGCGATTGAAGTCGCAATCATTACGTTTTTTTTAACAAGCCGCTCCTAAAGGTGTCTGTCCCCATCACTCCCTGTGCAGCCTCTGGTGACCTGACCTCCAGCTGCAAAGGAGAGAAGCTCCTGGAGCTCTGCATTGCTCCAGTTTGCCATCTCAGCTGGTTCTGTTCTAAAAGAAAAATTTACAGCAAGTGTTTACTTTCAATTTCAATACAGTTGCCAGCCAAGGCTCGGCAGTCACTCCCCATGCCATCATGTCACCACCCTCTGCTGCGCCAAGGCGCAGTCGCTGTTTATGAGACAGACAATTATCGCAATATTACTAGCAAGCGAGGCGGAAAATCCACACAACGCCATGCCAGCATGGCGCGTTTATAAGATACACTGTTGCGGTAATATTACACTGATTTATCTGGGAAGATGTGTAAGAGCTAGTGTGATGAAAAACATCCAAAAACTAAAGATAGCATATCCTACATCAGGGGTCCTCAACTAAATTTGCTCAAGGGCCGGAGTTTTTTCCAGCATACGCTGTGAGGGCCAGATGCTCTTCTAAAATGAATTCCAAGTTTTGTTGTACCTTAATTATTAAATATTTAAAATGGCTTGGTTTTCCACCTTAACTGTTTAGATTGTAGTTTTAGTTGTTTAGTTGAATTCTGCTTCTAAACTTCAAAGTCCCCCAATTTAGGGGCATTAGGGCCCAAAGGGTTGTGGTGCTGGGTGGTAAGGTCTGGTGAGTTGGATGTGGCCTGCAGTTGAGGTTCGCTGTCCTACATATTAAATGCTAGGCCCCACCCACTTACCCAGTTGGCCTTCCCTATTGGATCAGTCTATCTAGTGAAAGATGTCTTGTGACTAATCTCACTCTAGATGTGGGTGTGTGCGCCTATTAATCTGATGAGGATGAACAAACAGACCCGACCTCATTAAAATGGACAGATTTTCCTCAGTCTGACAGAAATCTGAGGTCTAAGTGTGGTGGTCCAGTCAGCTTTCTGAGATTATACTAAATATCCAACACATGACAGGGATTAAAAACATTTGTCTTCCAGTTTATTGAAATTATTTCACTGAAAATCTTGAAAACATGTTTCTCATTGGTTTCCCTCAAAAACTGCATGTATGTTAAAGATACAACAATCCCAACATAAATAGGGAACCACAGTTGAAAGCAGATGCAGTGAAGATTGTGTTTAATTATTTGCATAAGAGCAATTTTAAAACTTGTACACAAATGTGTTTTAGTTCATTGTGGGTGCTATTATCCTTACATTCAGCAGCCTATGTGATGCAGCTGCAGCCCTTAGAGAGACAGCACAACAAAAAGATGTAACAGGTCATTACAGATGTGTGTAGTTATGTTTTTATTTCCATCGTATTGGAACAGAAGACATTAGTTACATTTTCTGTATGTGGAGGAGAAGGCAGGGTGTTCAGATCTACATCCTGCATTCACAGATTCTAGTTCTCCATCGTAGTAGTGCCAGTAAGTAGGATAAACGAAGTGTTTACTCTAGAGACATTTCTGTCTGCATCCCAAAGTGTTATTTCAACATTTGATCAAGAAGAACTCTTCATACATTCAGAACTAGGAAACGTGCATACCCAACAGTTTGATGCAACATTATCAGAATATTAAATCAAAGCTAAACTGGCTCGTGTTCACTTCTTCCATCTTCAGCCTCGTCTTCATAAAATGAAGTGGATTTTCTGGCGGGCAGAACCATTTCCACTGCAGTCGGCACATATAAAGAAAATCATAGCTCCATTTAGCCCCGTCATTTCTCTGAAGTAGGAACCATTAATGTGGACTACCTCAGAGAACGTGTTGACTGCAGAGATTATAATTTAGATTACCAATGAAGGTAAAAAAAAATAAAAAATTAAATGCAGCATAATTGCACCTTGTGTTCTATTTAAATTTGGCTTTTGGAGCAGAGATTTCCCGTCACACAGGGAGCTGGAATCAGTCAAAGTGAGAAAAGTTCAAAGAAAACCATTTACATTCACAAGTGTGAGAAGCTGAAGGCTGAAAACCTCAAAATCATCAGCGTTAAGAGAGTTGAGTGAAAAATCTCTTTAAACTGCAACATCTAAGTCAAAATAAAAGCTCACATGGCTGAGCTCTGAATCAAAAAATAACCCAAACTCGGGAGCAGTCACCAGTAAAAACATAAAAACCACCAGGGACTCTTCAAGTGAAGTTCATGTTTTCTATTCTGAAAGCCCACAACTAAATAATTTATGCGTGTTACAAACAAGAAGATATGGATAAAGCTGTAGTACCCTTCTGTTAGAAAAAACATCTCCGATGTAACTTCAAAACTATGGTATAAATAACAGAACAGAGGTGGAAAGTAACGAATTACATTTACTCACATTACTGTAATTGAGTAGCTTCTTTGTATATTTAAATTTCTTAAGTCGTTTTTAAAATCTGTACTTTTACTTTTACTTGAGTACATTTTTAAAAAGAATTGTAATTCGCTACATTTTAAATGATATCCGTTACTGAGTAAAAATAAATAGTAGGCTTAATAAATTAAAAATATTACGTGTAGCAGCATCGGAACAGAAAGAGACACCTACGTGAGCGCCGCATCTAAACCGGGTTGTGTGTGGGTGTACATTTTAGATAATGAGGACAAACAGCCATTTTTACCGCAGTTTTGATCAAAAACATCAGTTCAGTCCCTGAGATCCACTCGCTGTTTACCTCCTCTCTCCCTCCTCTCCTGTGGGTTGAACCCGCACCTTTGCCCACCGGTGTGACGTCATCACAATTCTGCTCGGTTCAGTAACCAGACTCGGTTCCGTGTTTGAAATGTGTTTCCCTACCGCTCCGCACGGCAGCGGCAAAATTACATTTAGCGCTAATAACAAGCAGATTCTCAGCGCTTTGCTCATAAAACAGAGGACCTGCAGGCCTCTGTGAGTTAAAACATCCTGATACTGTTCAGGTGTAAGCATTGTGCTCCATCCCTTTTTTTGAACTCAGAAGTTGCTCCTTGATGCCACAGACATGATGATTTAGCTTGTTTATTTATTTTACTCCAGAATAAAAGATTAAATTATTACTAAAGCAGTTCAGTGTAGTTAAATTAGTCATTCAAAAGATTCTAACATGCTGCAGTGTGTGTGTGTGTGTGTGTGTGTGTGTGTGTGTGTGTGTTACACATAGGACTGCATAAGACAGCATGGTTTCATCAAATCCATGCATCTTATTTCTTGGCTGAGGTAAAGGCTCAGGAAAATAACTTATATTTCATACATAATGACGTCTCTCCAGTGTTTATGATCATTTTTTATCTTATTTTTGGTCTGGGAGGTGTAACATATCATAATACAAGCCTTTTAAAACATGTTAAAGTGTTACAAGAGGAGATAAATGCATGAATTTAAAGTTCATGTTTGGAGACCAACCTTCACAGTTTGGAGGCTCACGCTGGTGAGGAGACACCATTAGTTCCAGTAACACCTCGGCTCCCAAGGCCTGTTCTGACAGGATGTACGTTACGGGACCCTTAAGGATTCCAGTTGGATGATTGGAGGATTATTTAGGAGGATTGGATTGAACAAACTGATTTCAGTGGTGAAGGGTTAAAGGTATTGGCTCGGCATTAAAATTGTAAAAATGCAAAATAAATACACTTTACCATCTATATAAACATGTACTGGGTTCAGTTTTTTATTTTATTAAGGACTTTGTCATAAATCATTACAGAAAATCCAAATCCTCCAGACAGTGAAAAACTGTGTTTCACACACATCACTCCAGCACGTAAAACAAGCTAGCTGCTGATGCTAGTGTTGTGAATCACTGTTATTTGTTTACTTTCATGCTCCTAATTATTACATAAAACTGCGTTTACAGCTGCAGCAAAAGGTCTGAGCCATGTGTCCGTGTCCTACACTCATTTTTACATAACAGGTCTGATCTAAAATAACAACCTACATCTATAAAACCTGCCCCGCGATGGACTGGCTCTCTGTCCAGGGTGTACCCCGCCTGATTACCCGTTGACCGCTGGAGATAGCCCCCTACCCCCCCCCCCCCCCCCCCCCCCCCCCCGGATGTCATCCACATATCTGTACCAGTGGCTGGGTGCTCTCCCTTCAACTCCCTTCACTTCAAACTTACCCTGGATCCAGATAAAACCATGGTGTCCTTTGACGTAGT